TACTGAACAAAAGAGTTTAATGTGGTTATTAATTCAGCTATTTTATGAAACTAGGAACCAAGTTTCTGAATTTCTTATTTAGTTTATTTTTCCTTATTACCTCTGTTCAGCCTTTAAACATTAAGAACAACTCTTTTCCGTATTGTAAAATATACTTTAAATTCACCAAAAATCGCATAAATTTTCATTCCCTTTTAAACAACTAAATCATATGGCAGGTTACTGCTGAATTTTGACCTCACTTTTTTCATCTGTCTAAAACCAGTAAAACACATATAAATATATCCTGATTATAAAAATGCAAACCCCGCTTCTCACAAATGACCTCTGGCTCTGACCCTGGCTTTGACTTTGTATAAGTTACTAAACTTCTCAGAGTGTTCGTTTCCTCATTTTTAAAATCTGAGTCTTCCAGTGGGTGCACTTCTGCTCACCTTTTAACTTGGCAATAGTTTACTCTGTGCATTTTGTATTCACTTCTCTAGTCTACGTCCTTTGTTCTCAGGAGCATTTATAATGGCTCACACCCTAGAGTACATTTTCGTGCCTCTTTGACTTTCCTTAATTCTAATTATGTATACTGATCGGGATGCTCTAGACTGTTGTTGTTCAGTCACTGAGTCATATCTGACTCTTTGCAACCCCATGGAACGCAGCACACCAGGCTGACCTGTCCTTCACTATCACCTGGAGTTTGCTCAAACTAATGTCCATTGAGTCAATGATGGTATCTAAGCATCTCATCCTTTGCCACCTCCTTGTCCCCTTGCCCTCAGTCTTTCCCAGCATCAGGGTCTTTTCCAGTGAGTCAGCTCTTTGCATCAGGTGGCCAAGGTATTGGAGATTCAGCTTCAGCATCAGTCCTTCCAATGAATATTCAGGACTGATTTCCTTTAGGATTGACTGGTTTGATCTCCTTACTGTCCAAGGGACTCTCAGGAATCTTCTCCAGCACCACAGATCGAATGCATCAATTCTTCAGCACTCAGTCTTTTTTATGGTTCAACTCTCACATCTATACATGCCTATTGGAAAAACCATAGCTTTGACTATACAGAGCTATGAGGACAAAAGGTGTCTCTACTTTTTAATATACTGTCTATGTTTGTCATAACTTTTCTTCCAAGGAGTAAGCGTCTTTTAATTTCATGACTGCCATCACCGTCCGCAGTGATTTTAGAGACCAAGAAAATAAAATGTCACTGTTTCCACTGTTTCTCCATGTGTTTGCCATGAAGTGATGGGACCAGATGCCATGATCTTCATTTTTTGAATGTTGAGAGCTTTTTCACTCTCCTCTTCCACCTTCATCAGAGGCTTTTTAGTTCCTCTTCACTTTCTGCTATCAGGGTGATATCATCTGCATATCTGATGTTGTTGATATTTCTCCCATCTATCTTGATTTCAGCTTGTGAGTCGTCCATCTTGGCATTTTGAACAGAAGTTAAATAAGCAGAGTGACAAAATGTAGCCTTGATGTACTCCTTTCCCAATTTTGAAACAGTCAGTTATTCCATGTCTAGTTCTAACTGTTGCTTCATGACCTGCATACAAGTTTCTCAGGAGACAGGTAAGAAGATCTGGTATTCCCATCTCTTTAAGAATTTTCCAGTTTGTTGTGATCCATACAGTCAAAGACTTTAGCATAGTCAAGAAGCAGACGTAGATATGTTTTTGGAATTCTTTTGCTTTTTATATGATCCAACAGGTGTTGGCAATTTGATCTCTGGTTCCTCTGCCTTTTCTAAATCCAGCTTGTACATCTGAAAATTCTCGGTTTAAGCACCATTGAAGCCTAGCTTGAAGGATTTTGAACATTACTGAGCTAGCATGTGAAATGAGCACAATCATATGGTAGTTTGAACATTTGTTGATTGCCCTTCTCTGGGATTGGAATGAAACCTGACCTTTTCCAGTCCTGTGGCCACTGCTGAGTTTTCCAAATTTGCTGGCATATTGAGTGCAACACTTTCACAGCATCATCTTTTAGCATTTGAAATAGCTCAGCCGGAGTTCTATCACCTCCACTAGCTTTGTTCATAGTAATGCTTCCTAAGGCTCTCTTAACTTCATACTCCAGGATATCTGGTTCTAGGTGAGTGACCACACCATTGTGGTTATCTGGGTCATTAAGACCTTTCTTCTACAGTTCTTCTGTATATTCTTTCCACTTCTTCTTAACCTCTTTTACTTCTGTTAGGTCTTTGCTTTCTGTTCTTCATTGTGCCCATCTTTGCATGAAATGTTCTCTTGGTTATCTCTAATTTTTTGGACAAGATCTCTAGTCTTTCCCATTCTATTGTTTTCCTCTATTTCTTTGCATTGTTTGATTAAGAAGGCTTTCTTATCTTTCTTTGCTGTTCTCTGAATCTCTGCATTCACTTGGCTGTATGTTTCCCTTTCTCCTTTGCCTTTTGGCTTCTCTTCTTTTCTCAGCTATTTGTAAGGCCTCCTCAGACAACCACTTTGCCTTCTTGCATTTCTTTTCTTCCTGTACAGTGTTACAAACCTCTGTCCATAGTTTTTCAGGCATTCTGTCTACCAAATTTAATCCTTTGAATGTATTTGTCACCTCTACTGTATAATTATAAAGGATTTGATTTAGAATATATCTGAAAAGTCTAGAGGTTTTCCCTACTTTCTTCAATTTAAGGCTGAATTTTGCAATAAGGAGCTCATGATCTAATCCACAGTCAGCTCCAAGTCTTGTTTTTGCTGTTTAGAGCTTCTCCATCTTACAGTAACAACTTGTCCAATCTCAGTGGATTAAATCAACAAAGTTTATTTCATGCTCATACTGTCAGTCTGTCCATTTTATGTGGTCTGAGAAGTTTAATCTGTGTTGTCCTCATTCCACGAGCAAGGCCTTCAAAGTGCCCATCCTTTGGAGCTTTGCAAATTCTGTAGCAGAAGTGAGACAAGAAATAGCTATATCATACATTGTCTTTGAAATTTGCTACCCAGAAGTAATACATATCACTTTTGTTCATACAACATTGGCCAAAACAATTCACATGACCACACCTAACTTCAAGAGGACATGAAGTGCCATCTCACTATATGGCCAGGATGTAGGAAGACAGGAATATTTGGTGAACAACTCTTGTGACTATCCATTATATTTTAAATCAAATGTTAACTTCTGGTAGAAATGTAAATTAGTACTACACTTATGGAGTACTTTTGCAAACACAGCAAAAGCCCTAGAAATATGTCTACCATTTGATTTAATGGTTTCAGTTTTAGGAAATTATTGAACAGTTGTGGGCTTCCCTGTGGCTCAGATCAGGAGCCAGTGGCTCAGATCTGCCTACAAATCAGGAGACCTGAATTTGATCCCTGGGTTGGGAAGATCCCACCGAGAAGGGAATGGCAACCCACTCCATTATTCTTGCCTGGAGAATTCCATGGACAGAAGAGCCTGGAGTGCTACAGTCTATGGGGTCACAAAGAGTCAGACACGACTGAACAACTTACACAGTCACAGTCATAGAGATGTACATTTAATAATTCATTCTTTGAATGTATATTTACTGCATATCTACTGTGTGCTGGGTAGCTGATATATGGTCCATACCTTCATGGAGCTATTTGCAGGAAAGAGGAGAGATAGTACCAGAGATAATTTAAATGAAAGAGGTTAAGGGCTATGACTGGCAATTATAGGGTGGTATGAGAGCATTCTACTCTTCAACTTGCCTCCATTAAATTTTTAACTTCAGGTTTTGTAAATTGTATTTCTGAATATGTTCTCCTTCAAATGTACTGAATTACTTTTTATAGTTTTCTGTCTCTGAAGATATTTTCAAGTTTGTGTTTCATGAAGAAATTGTTTTCTCAAATTATGACACCATTTTGGATGCCTACAAATCTATAACCAAGACTTACATGGTTATAATTTACTTTATTAAAATTTGCCAATCATCAGGGTGAAAAATCATGATTCATATTGCATATGAAGATTGTAATATTTAAACATTTGTTTATAGTGAATATCACAATGTGATGGAAAAATTATATTTGAGTTAGGGTTTTGGGATTATGACTGATTTTTAAAAGTTTTTCTAAACTGTAATGTTATTACAGTAAAGTTATTTCATAGTTTTTAGAATGGAGAGATTAGAGAAGTTGTTACTGTAAGATGGAGAAGCTCTAAACAGCAAAAACAAAGTAATGATCTTAATGGAGAATAATTTATTAATATCCATGGAAATTTTTAAAAAGCTTTCACAATTGTAGTGTCATTTTAGAAAAAGCTCTACTTTGCAAGAATAAATTAAACAGATTGTTAGAAGTATGATTTTCATCTTCATGATAAAAACTTTGTTAAATCTCTCCATGTAGAACTACAGTACAAAGAAAAGTTATACAAACCTGCCTTTTCTATTTATGTTTGGTTGTGCAGGATCTTGGTTGCCATGCGTGGGCTTTCTCTAGTGGTGTGAGTGGGGGCACTCTCAGTTGTGGTGCATGGGCTTCTCATTGCAGTGGCTTCTCTTGTTGCAGAGCATGGGCTTTAGGGCATGCAGGCTTCAGTCACTGTGGCACGTGGGTTCAATAGTTGCATTTCCCAGGCTCTAGAGCACAAGCCCAATAGTTGTGGCACATGGGCTTAGTTGCCTCATGACATGTGGAATCTTCCTGGACCAGGGATTAAGCCCATAACCCATGTCTCTTGCATTAGCAGGTGAATTCTTTACCACTGAGCCACCAGGGAAGCCCCCTGCGCCCCCTTTCTTCTTTCTCTTCTCCATCTTTTTCTTGTATTATTTAGGTTTATCTCACATCAAGAGTTGGGAGTAGAGTTAAGAATGCACAGTTTTCTTTTAGAATTAAGTTGGGAGAAGAAAATAAAGAGGAACATACTGACTTTTTCTTTGAAGGCATATTTCCTATTAGCAAGTAGTATGGCTCTCACAAAGAAAATCAGAGAACTGAAGATATTTAGCATCAAAAAAGGTTAAATACTTAACAATACTTTTTTTAAATTTTTCTTTTAGGAAGAAGAAAGGCGTATGGCATCTGTTGTAGCCAAAAAAGAAGAAGAGAAGAAGCGGGAAAGTCATAAGCAATCTTTGCTTAAGGTATTGTCTCTGGTGTTTACATTCATGTATGTGCGCGCACGCACACACACACACACACACTCTCACACATACTGAAGCTACCTTGCTAATCAGCTAGAAAAGTAGTTTCCAAACTGCAAATTTTTCATTCCTATTGATAGTGTTTTTAATAAACAGACACCCTTAAAACTTATAAACAAACCTGTACTTCTGAAATACAATATAATGTACATTATAAAATAAATGCAAAGATGAGAAATTATAAAAGGAAGAGATAAAGTATATATATATATAACACAAGTTATATATATATAACTTTCCACACCAGTACATCATCTTGTGTATCCTCCTGGCATTTAAATTTCATTTTGGAAACCACTGTAGTAAACTGTCATCTTTAGTGATATAGTTTAATGAGCTCTGCTACATGCGTTTATTTTTTAGTGCTGGCTTTTTAAATTTAAAAAAATTCTCCGTTAGCTTCTCCAACAGAGAGGTGGTAAAGATTTTGAGGAGTATAAAAATTAAAGATTTTTTTGAACTTGTTTTAAATGATTTAGCATATCAGATATTACTGTCCTTAAAAGATTTTTGGGATAACAAAGTTGTATATAGTAAACTTAGGAAACAAGAGAACTTACTGGGGTGATGGAAATGTTATAGGTTAACATTTATGCGTTTGTCAGAACTGATCGAAGAGTACACTTGAATCTGTGTGTTTTACTTCGTGAAAACTACTCCTAAATTAGCAAACAAAACAAACTTGATCCCAAGTCCTCTCAATTCCAGTCTATTAGGAACTGGGCCACACAGCAGGAGGTGAGTGGCAGGTGAATGATCGAAGCTTCATCTGTACTTATAGCCGCTCATCTCAGTTCAGATGTCAGTGTCTTCAGATGGGACTGTCTGGTTGCAGGAAAACAAATTTAGAGCTCCCACTGATTCTGCAGTCCAGTGAGATGTATAATTATTTCATTATATATCACAATGTATAATAATTTAGAAATAAAGCACACAATAAATACAATGTGCTTGAACATCCCCAAACCACTGCCCCCACCACCACCACTGTATCTTGGTCCATGAAAAGATTTTCTTTCATTAAACTCGTCCCTGGTACCTGAAAAAGTTGGGGACTGCTGTTTCTGAGGGACAGAAAGGGTGTATAGACATCCATCTTTAGTCCTGTTGCTTTTCTATCTTTCTATTTTCTTTTCAATCTTTAAAATGAATGGAAGTGATAGTGATGACATATACTGGTGCAGTATTGCTTGGTTTATAAAGAATAGACTCAAGTGGCAGAAGCTGAAAGTTGGCATCTTCTAAAATAACTATCACTTTAACACAAATTTGACAGACTGTCCTGTGGCTATAGTCATTGTACTAATATTGTACTAATTGTACAATATTGTATCAATATGCCAGATGCATCCATGATCTTTGAACATAAAATTTTTTGGGGGGGAACCCTCTTTTGCCTTACAGAATCTTAGTCTTTCCTTTGTTCTTCTTTTTCCTGCTCCATAGGCACTTAGAGCCCTTGTTGGCCCCTCTAGCCAGCTAGTGATCCCCACCTAACCCCAGATCACTCTTGTTTTAAACTATATCTTCCCTTTTCTTGACCTCAGTGAAAATACCCATTTTCTTTGACAGCCTGGTGTTGATCTGATTTTAACAACCCAATTAAAGAAAGCTTAACTTTGGGATTGGTATAGGAAAGTGTTTGCATTTTCAGAGTATCTTGTTATAAATTGAACATACTGAGTGGTGTAAACTTTTGTGCCTTTTTTCTAAGCACTGCTATATCTACCTCATTAAGGATATTTATTTTTGCCAACTCCAAGTCAGCCAGAAAGCCACATGCATGGTATCAGCATGATAGCCATCTGCCATTAACTCACTGCCCCTGCCTCTTTCAAAATAACCTTGAAAAAAAAAAAGCAAAATAGCCTTGGCACTGAGTGAAAATAATGGTATTGTGTAGATTAAGAATTGGGTTGTCCCAGGTCATCTGCAAATAACTGAAATAGAATCCTTTAAGATAAGATGCCTTCATATCATAGATTTGGGGGGAAGATTTATAGTAGAATGTCAAATGCCTACTTGCTTTAGATAAGAACATACATAAAATGTCAAGAAGTCTCAGAAGTATACACATACTAAGTGGAACCCATTTAATTATGTAAACAAATTTCAAATACCAAGCAATAGAAAAAAGAATCCATGTCAAAGACATTTTTAAATGCAGAAATAGAACTTTTAAAATGTTTAGTCTTAATTAAGCTTTGTCACCAGTTTTCATTCCTATCCAGTGCCATTTCTGCATCTAAAATTTTAGACAGGCAAAGAGGTGGATCTAAACATAAGTATTCCACATGTGTGAGTGCACTGAGGGAGCAGGCAAAGAGTCTTCCTGACAGCTTTCACTGCTTCCAAAGGGAGCAGGTGAAGAGGGTCAGTGTCACACAGATGGTTTCTCGCTAGATGATTGTTCTCTGAGTGAAGATGAAAGGGGAAGTGTCTATTTTCAGCACTCTGATTTAATCAACTTGCCATCTAGAAGTTGTGTTGGTCACTCAGTTATGTCCGACTCTTTGCAGCCCCATGGACTGTAACCTACCAGGCTTCTCTGTCCATGGGATTCTCCAGGCAGGAATACTGGAGTGGGTTACCATTTCCTCCTCCAGGGAATCCTCCCTACCCAGGGATGGAACCCGGGTCTTCTGCATTGTGGGCAGATTCTTCACCATCTGAGTCATGAGGTTTGATAATGGATAATCTAAGATCTACTAGTTATCTAGAAATGTTTGAACTTAATACAATTTCTTTTAATAGTCTGTATATGATTGTTAATTTTCAGACATTGTAATTTATGCTGTGAATCTTAGAACACTGCTCAATCTCTCCTTTCTCCCCCGCCCCCAGATCACTCCACCATATTTCCCATAATTATTGGTTAGAAAGATTAAAATATTGTCAGTTTTTCTTACTATCTTTATGCACAAAGACATAATTTAAACTTCACATAACACTTGGAGTCCCCTGGAGGAGGAAGTGGAAACTCACTCCAATGTTCTGTCTTGGACAATCCCATGGACAAAGGAGCCTGACAGGCTACAATCCATGGGTTGCAAAGAGTGGGACATGACTAAAGCGACTTAGCATACATGCAGACAAAACACTTGAGTATATAAATTTCAGTCAAATTAAACTTGCAAGTAGTGAATTTTCTTATGTCCAGTGGGAGTAATTGTTATTTGTATATACTTTTTTAAGAATGATAGAGCATTTTTGAGATGTTTAAATGCATAGGTTGAATAAAGGCTGCTTATACTGTGTTTTAGAATACATATTTGGTATCTGCTTTAAGTAATTGACTCCTTTTAAAGATGTGATAAGTAGTACAAACAATATGCTCCTTGGATTCTCCTGCTACAAAAATTGCATTATGTAATTCTTGTCACAATGAACTTTTTCATAGGAGAAGAAAAGGTTAACAATTAACAATGTAGCTCGAAAGTGGGACTTGCAACAACATCGAATAACCAGTATTGCTATAAATCAAGATAGAAGAGATTCTGACTCTCAGGACCACTGTCAGAACGATGGAAGCACCGTCTCTACATTTCCAGAGGAAGCAGGGTATGCAGTGGTATTCTTTCCGGATATTAGTATCTTTGGAGAAATGAATTTGGAGCAGAAATGGGAAAATATTTTACATATAATTATTTTAAAATAGTTTTCTTAAGAAAGCCTACTGAAATTAGCAATAGGTTTTAAAAGTTAAGGTGGAAATATTGAAAATATAAGCTTGCTCCTAATTTAAAAACCCTTTAGTAGTTTCTTATTTTTATTAGGAATAAATCTAGATTACTTAATATAGCCTGTAAGGGCATCTACCCACCTTACCTATCTTGTCTCATAGTATCAGCCACTCTGTTCTTGTGCTGCAGCCTCAGTGATTCCCAATTTGGTTACCTCCTAACTTAGAACCCTTCTTCTACAAACAGATCTATTCTCCCCTGCCCTGCTTCCTTCACCCTACCCTGGCTAACTGCAATTCAGCCTGGAGGTCTTGACTTCAAACCTCACTTCCCCTGAAAAGTCTTTCCTAATGACTTCCCAGAGAGCAGGCTAGATCAGATACCTTTTTTTCTCCTAGTACTCTGCACTTCCCCTTGTTAGCACTTATCATGACCATAATTAACCATTGGTTAGTTAGGAAAAAGGAGAAGAGGGCAGCAGAGGATGAGATGATTGGATGGCATCACCAACTCAACAGACATGGATTTGAGCAAACTCCGGGAGATAGTGAAGGACACAGGGGCCTGTCATGCTATATAGTCCATGGGGTCGCAGAGTCGGACACAGCTTAGTGGCTGAACAACAACATGAAGTAGTTGTTTTGTATCTGTCTTCCCCACTAGATTGTAAAATCCTGATTGTGTTAACCTTTGTTGTTTCCCCAGTAGCTAGCACAAATCCTTACTCCTTAACTATCAGTGTTAAGCAATTTGGCATAAAACATAGTTACTCCAGTTACAATCTATAGTATCTGTCTTTTCCAGTGGCTCACAGCCTTTTCCTTCTATGACATACAAATCATATAACACATTTCCCTTGGTTTATGAACAAATCTGAGGACACTATCTAGGCTTAACATATTTTACTTCTGCTCATAAAGGCATACAAGAATCAAGTCAATGAGAGGAATATAAAGCATATATAATTTTATAGTTTGTTTTATAATTTAAAAATTTGTGTGTATATATAAGATTTAAAAAGAAAAGCTACAACTCAAAGATAGAATGCACTTCAGTTTTGTTTCATTTGATGCACAGTTATCTAATGACATAACCAAATTCTGAAACACATTTCAAACTAAATATAATATAGCTTTTATTTCAGTTTTTCAGCCAATATTCTTTCAGCTTTCCATATATGAAGAGTGTAATCAACAAGTCATTTAAGAGGAATTAGAATAATATTTTGGAAGTTTACTGTAGTTAGAGTTTGACGTATATCTTAAAGACAAATATACCTTAGCAATTTTAGTTATAAGATTAATTTATATTGACTAGCTTACCTCCTTCACCTCACTTGGGTATCTACATGTAGAGTTTCTTAGATCTTTCAGCTAGAAAAATAAGGAAACAAGAATTAACATTTTAATTAAGTGATAACTTACATAATGGATATATCACTTATATTGTCCTGAAACTTTATTTAATATTATTTAAATGTCAAAATAATTCTACTTGTTTGTAACTATACTTTATAAAATTAAAACTTTATGTCATTGGGCTTTAGATTTATGGAATACTACCCATTAGTTCTATTTCTGATTTATCTTTTCTTTAAAAATATTTTTTCTATCTTCCTTAAGAAGGATTCCTAGTTCCAAGTTTATCCAAATGACCTTATAAATTTTATTCTAAAATTTTAATAAGGTTTTAAAATTCCTTCTTTAATACATAAAATTTATTTTTATATATGCTTTTAGGTAAGAGCCTAACTTTATTTTATTCCAATTGACTAGACAGTTTTCTAATAGCATTCCTCAATTAAATTATTCTCTTTTGTAATGGGAATGTCATTTTCATCTTATACTAAGTTCCCATAAATACTGGATATATTTCTGAATTTTCTATTCCATTTCACTAACCTACTTATCTGTTTTAATGCCAATAACAGACTGTTTTGATTATTGTCATTTTATAGTTTTAATATCTAGTTAGGGAAATATGCTTTCACTATTCTTTTCAAAGTTTCAATTCTCATACACTTGTTCTTACATATGACCTTTAAAGTCATTTAATCTAAATGGAAAGTTAAGAATCTTTTTCAAATGGCATTTAAGTTGTTTATTTCAGTAGAATTAACATTTGTAAGATAATAAATCATTACTTTAAAAATCATGGTATATCTCTACATTTTTCAAGTATACTAGGGAGCTAACTGGGGAAGTGTTGAGATGTTGAAGGAAAATTCTGAGGAACTAAAGGAAGTTATAGACCACGAAATTGTAGCAGCTAGTCTGAATTGTTGAGCGAGTATTCCAGGAGTACAGAGTGACAAGATATATCAGTTGTTGTTCAGTCACTAAGTCGTGTCTTTGCAACTCCATGGATTGCAGCAAGCCAGGCTTCCCTGTGCTTCACTATCTCCTGGAGCTTGCTCAAACTCATGTCCATTGAGGCAGTTATGTCATCCAGCCATCTCATCCTCTGTCACACCCTTCTCCTGCCCTCAATCTTTCCCAGCATCAGGGTCTTTTCCAATGAGTTGGATCTTCGCATCATATGGCCAGAGTATTGGAACTTCAGCTTCAGCATCAGTCCTAACAGTGAATATTCAGGTTTGATTTCCTTTAGGATCGATTGGTTTGATCTCCTTGCTGTCCAAGGGACTCTCAAGAGTTTCCTCCAGCACCACAATTCAAAATCATCAATTCTTCAGCTCTCAGCTTTTTTATGGTCCAGCTCTCACATCCATACATGACTAGTGGAAAAATCATAGCTTTGACTTTATGGACCTTTGTCAGCAAAGTGATGTCTCTGCTTTTTAATACACTGAAGGTTTGCTATAGGTATATCAATAGAAAAGCTGAATATCTTAGAAAGAATAAGGAAATAAAGGATCAAAGATAAGGAATTAAAAAAATCAAGTATAATGTCAAAAGAAAGAAATGATAGATCATATGGTCTAGGCTATTTTTAAATAATTAAAAAGTAGAAGGTTGCCAATGAATTGGAAGAAAATGTAGTATTTCTGGGACTAGAAGTCTAAATGAAATTAAAGATGAGAATTACATAAAGTAATAGGATTAGTAGTGAGCTGAACTAGTGGGAATTTATGGTCAAATTAAGTTTTTGAAGTTGAAGATTTTAGAGATGGAATATATTTTAGTAATAACATAAAAAACACTTTGGAGGCCACTGTGGCCCTGGGAATGAGTTGTTGGAGAAGAGTAGAAATCAGTAAGGAGAGGAGAAGAAAGAAGATGAGTTGAAGTTATTATTGTGTGGACATTGAAGTTATTAATGGCAGAACTAGGTGTGGAACCAAGGGCCAGAGTATTCAGTGGTGACCAGCATTATCTCCTTCCAATCTCAGCCATGCATCCTATGGCCTTATCACAGAGATGTTCACTGTTCACTTTTTACTAGTGTTGGCAGCAGCAGTGACTGTGGAAGTGTCATTGTTAATTAATTGATTCTTTTACCTGGCATAACTATCTCTGATTGCTGGACTCTATTAGGCAGACTGATAGGTGGACTCCAGACTATTAATGTGACTTTCCTAGCACTCTAAACTTTTAAAACAACTTTTTCCCCAAAATTTTGTGACCCTCTAAAAAGCAGTTGGTTCCAAGAGAAAGAAGTGTCTGCTAGTGAAAATTGCTATGACTTAAAATTGCTGCCAAGAGTTTCAGAACTTTTATTAGGAGTTGCACAAAGCCAGAGGCTTTTTAAGGAAAGAGCACAAATGAAGAATTTGGAAGAGATGGGAAAATTGATGTGTGGGTTCAATGCAGAGGATGTGGAGAACAGTAATGCATTATTAGGAAAGAGATCCACAGTTTCTGGCAAAAATTTCTACTGTTGTAAGTTCAAAGTGCCATGGAGACATGATTACAATATCATGGTCTGACCCTTTTTGATAATCTAAAAACTTTTAATTCAAGGAGACACAATTAACATTTATCTATGAAATCAGAAAAGTAAAACTTTAGAGCTAGACAAGAAATTATTAGTAGAGACTATAATGCAAAATCACAACTTATAGTAGTTGGAGGTCTTTTTTTTTTCAGTTGGCTTGTGGTTATTTGATTCCTGTAAAATCTGTTACATTGGAAAGGTAGGAATATTTCTTAAAGAGCTTATTTTACCTTGTATATGCCTATATGAAGGACTGTTAAACAGAGAATCCAGGTTGACTTTCTGAACTTCGAGTTCTTATTTTGCTTGAACATGCCACACCATTTGACATAGTTGTTACTCATTGTTGATAGGATCTTTGCATTAATATTCTTGAGAGCACATTCACTTGATTTTCCTTTTACCTGTGTGGCTACTCTTTTCTATTTAATTTTAACTTTTAATTATTTGTTTATTTTTAAATTTTTTAATTGGAGTATAGTTGATTTACCATGTTGTGTTAGTTTCAGGTGTACATCATAGTGAATCAGTTATACATACACATATATCCACTCTTTTTTAGATTTTTTTCCCATATAGGCCATTACAGAATATTGAGTAGAGTGTGCTATATGGTAGGTCCTTATTAGGTACCTATTTTATATATATATATATATATATATATAGTGGTGCATGTATATATCCTCATTCCCTCCCTCTCTCCTTTCCCCCTGGTAATTATAAGTTTGTTTTCTACATCTGTAACTCTGTTTTGTAAATAAGTTAATTTGTACCATTTTTTAAAAGATTCTACAAAAAAAAAAAAAAGATTCTACATATGAGCAATATCAAATGGTAATTGTCTTTGGCTGACTTCACTTAATATGACAATCTCTCGGTCCATCCATGTTGCTGCAATTGGCTTTATTTTGTTGTTTTTTATGGCTGACTACTCTTTAAGTGGGTCTTCCTGGTGGCTCAGTTGGTAAAGAATCCGCCTGC